GCTGGCTAAATATTAAATCACCTGGGGAGCTTTTAAAAATACAAGTGCTCAGGCCCCCATCCAGACCAATTAAATTGGTCTCTAGAAGTAGGTATTTTTTAAAGTTCCCTAGAGTTGCTAATGTGTAACCAAGGTTGAGAACTATTGCCTTAGATGATGTTTTTTTTAGACTGAGTCATGCTCTGAATAAGATGGAAAAAAAAAAAAAAACCCAGAAGCACATCCTAAACAAATTTATATCGAATTATGGTGAACATTCAAATATTTAAAATGAATAAAAATAATTTTTTCATGTTTTTCAAGTAAATGAATTAGGTGAAGCCTGAAAAGCAATGATTTTGTCTGCTTTAGTTAATCCATACTCATTTAAAAATATTCCACTTTGCAAACAACAAACTGGGAACCAAACCACTGGTCTATTAAGTTGCAAAGATTATGACTCAAATTTTAAAATAAGTTTCTTAGCATTTCCAATATCCATGCCAGTTAGCTTATTTCTTTTTATTATAATAATACTTTGTAGTCTAGAAGCAATGAACCTAACATCTGTGTCTCAGACACCTAAGTTCTGAAGCAGTGTGTTTTGAATTAGAAAGGAAAACATTTATTGCACAGTGCAAAATCAAGACAGTATGGTTTGATTCCTTTTAAATCTTGCCTGTTGCTAGCTCTAATCCTATCTTAGCCCCAGGGACCTTTTTAAAGAATCTGCCCAATTTGACAGCATTCCAGTCTCCCCATCAAGTACCATGGTTTCTTCCTCATAACTGAAACAATCCCTCCCCTATGCTTTCCCATCTTCCAGTGACGAACAAGGTATGTATATAAATCATTTCTTCTTTTTTTTTTTAATTTCAGGCTATTATGGGGGTAGAGATGTTTAGGTTACGTATGTTGCCCTTGCCCCCCACCCCCAAGTCCGAGTTTTAAGTGCGTCCCTCCCTCGGATGGTGCACATCGCATTCTTTGTGTATGCATATACCCGTCCCCTCCTCCCTCCTCCCCCCTGCCCGACATCCAATAGATGTTATTCTTATATGTGCACTTATGTGTTGATCTAAAAATCAAA